GACTCATTCTAAAAAAAGTGACTGTTTGAGTTTAGTTATTCTAAGGCAGTAACTCGAGTCACATTTAGTGCTTTGAAGGCAGTGCTCGAGTCAAGTCTTTAAAATAGCCACGTTGATTCGAGTTATGTCACATTCTTGCTTGAGTGACAAGAATTCGGGCGTGGAAGGATTTGGATGAATACTACCTAGAATTTCCTCCGTGTTGTGCAAAGTCGGATTTGATGAAACTGTCTAGTCCTTCGCCCTGAAGAGGATGAAGCTTTCCAATGGCGTAGCCAAGGGGGGCATGGGGGTGAGCACTTGCCCCCCCCCCCTCCCCACAAATTTTCCGTGCCCCTCCCCAGATGCCCCCCACCAAAACACTGATAAGGTCCCTTTTCCTTTTTTTCAGTTAGCCAAAGGCCTACCTTTTACAATCTCTTATGTCAATGAATATAGCGAGGCATTATAGGGCCCAACTGGGAAATACTGCAATAGGAAGTTTGCGATATGTGCCCCCATGATATTCTGACCCCCCCCCCCCGTGCCCCTCCACTCAAAAAATCCTAGCTACGCCACTGAAGCTTCCATGAATGGAAAAATGATTTTAAAAAAACCCAGTCAGTCCTGTCTGTTGGTCAGTGCGTGCGTGCGTGATTTAGAACACACTAGGCTGGCCCTCTGGGTCCAGCGCAAAGTTAGCCTTGAAAGATACACAGGTCAGGAAAGGACATTCATGTCAGGTTAGGTCAAGTCAGGTCAGGTCAGTCAGGTCAGGTCGGATTGGGTCGGTTGGGTCGGGTCCAGCTTATGCAAGTCTAAATCACAAGAGACAGTCAGTCCGGTCCGTTCGGTCGGTCTGTCAGTGCGTGCGTGCATTAAAGTGCACTAGGCTGGCCCTCTGGGACCAGCGCAAAAATAGTCAAGAAAGATGCATAGAAGGCCATGAGACACTTTAAAAGATCACTGACAGTAATAAATGATATCTAGAGACAACACAACACTGCAGGTGCACGCTTACACTCTATCTAAAGTGCTTTTATTGAATGAATATAAATTTAACACAGAAAAGAGACGTGGACAAAAAAGGTTTGTGCCATGATATGCCGAACTTTCTCTATCTTGTCTCTGACTACATAAATTGATTGGGCTTTAAGTTAATGGCCATCATTTGCAAACACTTTTTTATTGGCGTTTCAAGAAACATTACATAAATGCAATCAATCGGATGCAGGTTATTAATAACAAACAAATTGTCGAAATTATTAACAGTAGATGACTTGTCATACTTTTGAGAAAACTGTGACAATGCATTTTCATTTTTCTCACGCAAAGCATGTTTCCGTTGACAGTTTGAGGGTTTGGTCCTACCCATCGCGAGGAAATGATGGTTATTTCTCTTGTGTGGCAAAAGACAGCATACTAGTCGCATTTCACAGGATGTTCATTGCTATCACTTACTTACAAAAACATGGGACATTTCATGATATTTGACAGTTTAAATTTGCAAATGGTGTCGATTACCTTAAACCTCTTTAAAATGTAAAGGAAAAAGAAAGAAAAAAGAAAAGAAAAGAAAACTAGACAAGATAAGTTTGCGGTAGAACCATGTCAATAAATCTTTTTTGTGAGTATATGTGGTTCTGAAACGTCCCTCCTGTTCTTTTCGGGCACACATACTCACAAAAGAGATATGTTCACATTGTGCTACCGCAAACTTATCTTATGTTAATATCTTTCCACCATGCAAATATTAAAACGTCAAAAGAAAACTATTTGCTGAAAAAAATAGTTCCAGTTCTTTTTTTGAAATTTATTTCCACCAGTTACTGAACTGCATGTATATGCTTAACCATGTTCAAAAGGACAATTAAGAAATAGTAATAATCTATATAATTATGCCCACTTCTTAGGCCGAAAAAAAGTTCTGCTTCCGGTTACCCGACCGACCCTATTTTTAGGCTGCGACCCAAAAAATTGTATCGGCAATTCCCCCCCCCCCAAAAAAAAGAGAAAATAATGAATGAATAAATAAAAATAAAAACCTGTTGTCTTTTCTGTCTCCACAAAATACCTCTCAACAACCCTTTTGCGTCAAAAAAAAATGCTTTTTTTTTTCGTTTTCTTACTTACATTCGCTATTTTTTTTTCAAAAGAAACCTCCGTTATTTTTACAAATTCGCTTTGCAATATAACTAGTTCGCAATTCGATGTCACGGTGACTATAATCACGAGCGTAAGCTCAATGCGGCGGCGATCTGGTTAATTCACAGAATGATCTAGCTTGTCTGTGTATGTATTTTCCATGTTGCACTACATGTACTCGTATTTGGAGTGATACAATGCAGCCTGTTTTTCTCGAAAATTTCGACCGTGAAAACGAGGTCTGCTGGCCGCTGGCCACACATGCACAGTGCATCACTCACTGCGGAGTTTTGGCCAGCTTCCCGTCTTGACTAGCGTTGTGCATATGTTGCGAACGACCTGAATTTTCCATTATTTTTTTAAGAATTATCGAACGTTAATATATTGGCAATAATTAAGGTAGGTATAATTTACTTTTTGTGGCCATTTTGTGTATAGCTTTCGTAGTGCAATGGAAATAGTTTAGGCTAAAACTTCGCATATAATTGAATACCCCATTCAATTTGCATAAAAAAAATGGCCAAAAAAAAGAAATTCCGACCGACCAACCCTATTTTTGAAAGGCATGTAATCGGAAGCAGAACTCTTTTTTTGGCCTTTTATAAGAAAATGTTGTATACCAGATTTGCTAATATAATAAAATAAGCTATATTGGATATTTGAACAGTTTCATGCAAAATGTATTGGAATTTTAAAGTCCTATGCGGAAAAAAAATGTTTGCAGTGCATACTGAATAATATTCGTCCATGGGTTTACGAAGCGATTTTGAGTGGGGAAACTCTTTTGTATTGACTCAAATTCACCCACTTCAAATTGCGTCCTCTTATTGTGTCCATCATACTTCAACAAGGATAATAGTTTGTGAGGCTTGAATTTATTATCCAAGTTTCAGGTGCACTTTCATCCGGAGATTGGCAAACCTTGGTGCTTTCCGGGTCCAAAAAAAAAATGTCCTGTGCAAAATGTCTGACATTTTCCAGAGAAAATGTTGAAAACACCCGTTTGTTTACATATTGCTCGTCAGCAATTTTTGCCTCTCCTTTCAATTATTTCAATTAGTGAAAAAAGCCATTGAATTTCAAAGCAAAAGTGAAAACGTCACTTTCACGGTAGTGTTGTGTGCATGGTACTTTTTCTACTTGTCATCAATCTTTCCAATGATTATTATTTCGTGAGCTATGTTTTTTTCGTGAGCTATGTTTTTAGAGCCCAAAAGATCGCAACCGGCCAAAAGTGCACATTTAAGAGTATTGTATTTTGAGTGAAAACAATTTCATGTTCTAGCAGGTCTTCCAAAATACAATTTTCACAATTTACTTCTTGAAAAAAGGGATACTACAAAATGAAAATACATGCCATTGTGTATTATCACTGATTAAGCCAATAAGAATCTAAAAAAATCTAGAAAAAAAAACCTGTTAACCATCAGTTTTTATACAAATAATTTCTTTTGTCGGCATCAATATAGCACGGGAAACTCCTGCCTCTAAAGCTCATTGGGACATTTGACAACTCAAAACTGAGGAAGAGTCTATATCTTAAATATGGGTTAACCGTTAGACTGGTTCCGGGTCCCTCCATCATAGCCCTTACTCCGAGTGTAGGAGGTGGGAACAAGTCCGGACGTCCATATTAGGGACTCAGGAGGAGCACTTAAAGTGCAATTCTCTTTTGCTTTTGAGCATTTGTTTTTAGATTAACAACAAAATCTATCAAAATCATGAGAAGGGTGCATAACAACTATTAAACGTGTTGAATTTGCAGCTAAGTGGATACTAGACATTTTGAGAACAAATGCAACATTAATAGAGTCTTTTGTAAATGGACTGCGTTGCTAGCGCACATACAGAACAGTGCACATATTAATAAAATAGTCACCTTCAAAGAATGTTTCTTCCGAATGATACCATTTCAGGCAGGGAACTTGTTACGAGTTCTGTCTCCGTTTTGAGCGAGGATTTCTTGTTAAAATCGGTTGGTACATTTCTAGGTAATTGCAACAGTGTTGCTATGTGCCTTAATTTGTTGAATGGAGCATTCTGTGCCTGATGTGGGCAGACCTTTATAAAATCACCTTCAAAGATTGTTTCTTCCGAATGATACCTTTTCAGGCATGAAACTTGCTACCAGTCCTATCTTCCTTTTGAGCGAGGATTTTCTTGTTAAATCGCTAGGTACGATTCGCGGAAACTGCAAATGTTCCTATGTGCCTTTTTTGTCGAATTTCCAGCGAGCACTTGAGCAAGGTTTTCCCAAGCTAGCATCGATGGAATTTACTCCTTAATTGTGCAGCCGAGGACTTCAAACCTCATGCAGCAGTGTCCATGACACCGAGTAGGCAGGATACGCAGGAATCTGGCCTGGAAAGCCTTCGGGAAAGTGGTGGTCACGTGGGTGTTTCTGTCCGAGTTTCCAGGGAACTGTGGAGTAAACGATATGAACACGATTTTGAAACCAGCGTTGAAAGGTTAACGGGGATGAGTTTTCCCTTGCAGTCACACGGTTTTAACAGGATGGACAGAGGGAGGGACAGAGGACAGAGGGTCATATGGCATGTATACTCATAGATTTCAGGGTTTTGTAGAATCAGTAAAATAAATAAAGATTTAAAGTATTTAAAACACTAAAGCAAAAAAACAGATTTGTTGATTGGAAAATGGTTGGAAGGAAACATAAGTCGATCTGACAACAAATCCCAAGGTTACCTTTTGTTCCCTTCTCATTACAGCCCTACTTCTTTTTTTCCATTTACTTTTAAATTCAAGAGATACGAGGAATTATGTTCACTTGGGACTTGAACCCACGACATTGTGCTGGTTGGAATCTGATCTGGCTTTCCTTTTCATCCAAATCTGCGCACATCAACAGGAGGTCGTGGGTTAGAGCCCTGGCCAATCGACTGAGTAAGCTGTGAAGTTTATCTCACAAACCCTCTGACAATACTTTACAAGTATTATATTCACTGTGTGGACTTCCAAACAAAAGAGGTCCACATAAACTATGTAGCAGCGACGTTGTGTGGATTTATCCACGTCCACACAATGTTTTCCCCTCTCTGGAAAACAGGTTTAGAGGCATTTTTGGGTAAGGTTTATCCGTGGCAAAATGAAGAGAAACACCAAAGGGAATCATAGAAAACAAATTGGGTTGAAAAAAATTTCACAGTGTGAGTTAAATTAGTTTTTTTTTCACAGGTTTTTCTTAACTACGCGAAAACAAAGGAATGTCTGCGCACTACGTATGTAACGCAAACAAGTCAGAGTAAACAGTGTTTATGAAATTACATTGGTGAAAGGGCAAACTGAGCGATGTGACTATACCTTCATTGGTGAACATGATCCATCATTAGTGACGTCAGTCCAATCTACGCCATCATCGCTGAAGGCTACTTTGAAGTCTGTCACCCATTGGTCAAAGTTACCATAGATGTAATCCCCGCGCCCCTGGGTGATAACGTCAGTGATGATGACACTACCGAGGTCGACTTGGACCCATGGATTGGGGTCACGGTAATTACACCAGGCTGCGGACCCTCTTGTGGCTGCAGAGTAAGCAGATAATCAAACCTGCTAAGCATAAAATTCCGCTTAGCAAATGTATGCACTAAAAACTGAGAACCTGCCACAAGCCTTACACCAGGCTACACTTGCAAAGCGGATAATAAGGAGAAAGCATCGCATGGCTAATTCATGCTCATCAACAAACGGGAGGAAAACAGTCACAAGCAATGCACATACTTTTTGGTGGTAACACTTCTTCCCTTTATGCATGGACGTCGCCAGGATTTTTTCTAGAGGGGGCAAAAATTCTTTTTTTGCAAAAAAATTCTTGTATTTATCAACACATTCTCGATTTATCAGTTTTAGAGGGGGGCAGGGACATTTTGCCCCCCCCCCCTCAACTCATTAAATTTACACCACTTTGTCTTCGCGCCTCTTTTTCTTTTCTTTTTTTTTCATTTTTTTTTCTTCATTTTTTTTTTTTTTTTTTTGCATGGGCGTCGCGAGTGGGGGGGGGGGGGGGGAGGCAAGTGCCCCCTTGCCCCCCCCCCTCGCGACGCCCATGCCTTTATGTGATTTAGAAGTTGTGCTGAGCGCCTGTATGGGTGTCAACCAATGAGGAACTTACGCGACTTGTGAAAGCTGTGAAACTTTCTGACCACAAAATGTGTTATGATAACATTGATAAAAAATGATAAAAAGTCTTATTTTTTGGTGTGCATTTTTGTCACCTTTAACGAATTATTTAGTTTGAGTTGCTTTATTCTTTATCCCATGTTGAACAAAAATAAAATTACCTTCAAGGTTAAGCCGAGCCCTGGTGGGTCCGAAATGGGCCCAGTTCCTCCACATTGACGACACAGTGATGCTTGCATCTGGGATGCGTCCATCTTCCATCCCTAAGGGTCCTACGTCAGAGCACTCCAAAATATCTGTCGGAGAAGAGGGAAAAAATCAATGAGGGTGGGAGGCGGTTTATTAAAACAATCACAACCATTTTTATTGATATGACGGCGGATTCCACCTTCTCCTGATCTTTGAAACGTGATATGAGACTTGATCACTTTATAATCCAATGTATTACATGAAAAGGAAACTACCAGAAAGGCCTTGGCAATATTGCATTCTAAGATACTTATAAAAAACAATAGTGGCTTCTGTGGCCCAAAATGTTTGAAACAACACTAATATTTGTCTTATTATTGAACACCACGACTGAATCACCCCCTTTATCGGTACCTCCATGTCTCATATCGTTTGAATATTTTTACTGCTTCCAAATATCATCGCTCCCTGTCACTTTCCAATCAGGAAGATATACATGAATGTACACACTATGAGGTCTCAGCAACTCTCTTGTTGGCCCCATTCTACTGGCCTTGCATAAAGTGTGAAATCATCGTTCAAATAATCCACGAAAGAGAAAAATTATTAAATTCATATTTATTAACCTATCAAGAATACTGGCAAGCAATGACACAGAAAGCACTGGATGACTGTGTTCCTTTGGGTATATTCCGGCGGTTAATGTATTATTAATGACATAACATAACATACAGAAAGGCTTCAGTGACCACGCTTTTAGTGAACACATTTGTCCTTGAGTACGGCAGCCTTTATTTGGGGGATCCGGCACCACCCGGTCACCGTTTTAGAATCGTACGAGCTTTTCTTTCTTCTTCCGGACGATAATTCTCGGCCACTTTTCTTCAAACCGTTCACAGCAGGAACTTGAAACTTGGAATGAAAATCAAAACTGATACAAAGGTCACGTCATCATGACATCATCTGGTATCAATTACAAAAGCGTCATTTTTAACTCATTGACAAAATAAACAATCACGTTAATATAGGTTTTCCCGGGCAATATTCCCAAGTATTCATTCATTCATTGTAACGTCTGTGTCATTCAATTTTGATTAAAGTTAAAAGATCACGCATATCGTCATTCGACCATCAAAAAGAATCATTCATTTTCACTATCCCAGCAATATGTCGTCTTTTCGCTTCACTAAATTAAAAGTATCGTCTTGTTCATTCAATTTCATCTGAACTAGCAGTAAGGGGTTGATCGGAAATTCCTTTTTTTTTTTTATTAATGGGCAAACATATGTTACATTTTGTCAAGCATCTGTTTACTTCCTGCATGTCCGTATTCCTTTAAAATTCTAAATTATCTCAGCATAAATTACAGGTTTTCCCGGCCAATTTCCTGAAATGCTCATTCACTTCTGAAAATCGGTCGTTCATTTTCGTCTAAATTTGAGAATCGCTCGGAACACTCGTTTCATTTTCGCTACCAGAACAGTCGATTCCATTTCAGTTCAATCAATTAAGTGATTGAGCAGCACCTTTCGTTTATGTCCATTCAGATTCGTTTACAAGACTTCTATTTCGCTTTAAGAAGGCGATTTCAAACATTGACCATTCTATTTCACTTTTAGTTTAATGACATCGGCACCAGATACAATTGGTGGTTTCTTTTTCATTAACCGTCAATCAAATTAGCTGTACCTGAAATCAATTTAGAAAAGGTATGCTTGCGTGAATGAATGCACATGTAACGTTATTGGCAGTCTGTTTCTCAAAACCGAATGTATGGACAGTAAAAACGATTGAACTTTCGTTGAACTGAAAAGGGATGAATAAAGACATGCATTCAAATTCAGACGAAAAGGAAAGACCGATTTTCAGAAGTGAATGAACATTTCAGAAAATTGGCCGGAAAAACCTATACTTTTGATTCCGGATCATAAAGACGCTTGATCTTTACTTTCTGTGCTACCGAAAAGTGCAATGAGAAATGAATATAATAACTTGAATACGAAAACATCTTCCTACAATCAAACACAATTGATTATACATAAATGTTTAACGTGGGATGTAAAACACAATCAATACCATGATGACATCACTACTTGAAAGACCACCCTCTAACAGCAAGTGAAATAAAAGATTTCTTTTTAACTATAGGTTTTCCCGGCAAACGTTCAGAAGTTAATGAACATTTTAGGAAATTGGCCGGGAAAACCTATATTTGCTAACTTGTACCATATGGAGTCTTAAGACGACCACAACTATTTGGCGAAGTTTCCGAATTTTCACACGTTATTTACGTTAGGCATCCTAAAGCTATATAAACTAAACCAGATAAATCCTAAACCAGATAAGGCGTAAAATATACGTACACCTTCACGTCCGGGTAATTGTTGTATTAGGGGGAAGTTCTTTTCATATGATCTTGCATATGTATTTCTTCTTAAGTAAATCAACATTCATTGTGCACATGTTTTGACTTTCGACAGAACATGTATACACATGCTGTGAACATGTACATGTACATTTGTACTTGTATGAGTACTGTGCAGAATGTTCGCGCCATAGAGTTATATTAAAAACAAACTAGAGAGCGCACTCATCACTTGACCCCGTGCTGGCAAGGACATTTTGTAAGTGGGCAAAGCACATGCGCACAACACATAACGTTCGGCAAAACAGCACGGCGGTTAATGTATTATTAATGACATAACATAACATACAGAAAGGCTTCAGTGACCACGCTTTTAGTGAACATATTTGTCCTTGAGTACGGCAGCCTTTATTTGGGGGATCCGGCACCACCCGGTCACCGTTTTAGAATCGTACGAGCTTTTCTTTCTTCTTCCGGACGATAATTCTCGGCCACTTTTCTTCAAACCGTTCACAGCAGGAACTTGAAACTTGGAATGAAAATCAAAACTGATACAAAGGTCACGTCATCATGACATCATCTGGTATCAATTACAAAAGCGTCATTTTTAACTCATTGACAAAATAAACAATCACGTTAATATAGGTGGTCCCGGGCAATATTCCCAAGTATTCATTCATTCATTGTAACGTCTGTGTCATTCAATTTTGATTAAAGTTAAAAGATCACGCATATCGTCATTCGACCATCAAAAAGAATCATTCATTTTCACTATCCCAGCAATATGTCGTCTTTTCGCTTCACTAAATTAAAAGTATCGTCTTGTTCATTCAATTTCATCTGAACTAGCAGTAAGGGGTTGATCGGAAATTCCTTTTTTTTTTTATTAATGGGCAAACATATGTTACATTTTGTCAAGCATCTGTTTACTTCCTGCATGTCCGTATTCCTTTAAAATTCTAAATTATCTCAGCATAAATTACAGGTTTTCCCGGCCAATTTCCTGAAATGCTCATTCACTTCTGAAAATCGGTCGTTCATTTTCGTCTAAATTTGAGAATCGCTCGGAACACTCGTTTCATTTTCGCTACCAGAACAGTCGATTCCATTTCAGTTCAATCAATTAAGTGATTGAGCAGCACCTTTCGTTTATGTCCATTCAGATTCGTTTACAAGACTTCTATTTCGCTTTAAGAAGGCGATTTCAAACATTGACCATTCTATTTCACTTTTAGTTTAATGACATTGGCACCAGATACAATTGGTGGTTTCTTTTTCATTAACCGTCAATCAAATTAGCTGTACCTGAAATCAATTTAGAAAAGGTATGCTTGCGTGAATGAATGCACATGTAACGTTATTGGCAGTCTGTTTCTCAAAACCGAATGTATGGACAGTAAAAACGATTGAACTTTCGTTGAACTGAAAAGGGATGAATAAAGACATGCATTCAAATTCAGACGAAAAGGAAAGACCGATTTTCAGAAGTGAATGAACATTTCAGAAAATTGGCCGGAAAAACCTATACTTTTGATTCCGGATCATAAAGACGCTTGATCTTTACTTTCTGTGCTACCGAAAAGTGCAATGAGAAATGAATATAATAACTTGAATACGAAAACATCTTCCTACAATCAAACACAATTGATTATACATAAATGTTTAACGTGGGATGTAAAACACAATCAATACCATGATGACATCACTACTTGAAAGACCACCCTCTAACAGCAAGTGAAATAAAAGATTTCTTTTTAACTATAGGTTTTCCCGGCAAACGTTCAGAAGTTAATGAACATTTTAGGAAATTGGCCGGGAAAACCTATATTTGCTAACTTGTACCATATGGAGTCTTAAGACGACCACAACTATTTGGCGAAGTTTCCGAATTTTCACACGTTATTTACGTTAGGCATCCTAAAGCTATATAAACTAAACCAGATAAATCCTAAACCAGATAAGGCGTAAAATATACGTACACCTTCACGTCCGGGTAATTGTTGTATTAGGGGGAAGTTCTTTTCATATGATCTTGCATATGTATTTCTTCTTAAGTAAATCAACATTCATTGTGCACATGTTTTGACTTTCGACAGAACATGTATACACATGCTGTGAACATGTACATGTACATTTGTACTTGTATGAGTACTGTGCAGAATGTTCGCGCCATAGAGTTATATTAAAAACAAACTAGAGAGCGCACTCATCACTTGACCCCGTGCTGGCAAGGACATTTTGTAAGTGGGCAAAGCACATGCGCACAACACATAACGTTCGGCAAAACAGCACGGTAAAACAAGGCATCGTCGGGGGGGGGGGATTGATAAGTGGAACCAACAGTGAAAAAAAATTACCCTCCTCTTGAAATATTTGCGTATCTGAACAGAAATTAATCCACATTTGCAGACTTGCTGGATCTTCCTGTGGATTGCGATGGCTTTTTTTTTTTCATTTTCAATTTTTGACTTTACAGGAATTCCATGACGTCTGTTTGCAGCGCTGGCTGTAATAAAACCTGTTGATCTAGGAGCCTTAACATTCATAAGGTTTTATTTTTTTCTCAGTGTGCACTTCACTCTGATGCTTTCTATTTTGCCTTTGAATATTCCTGTTTGACATGGTATTTGGAAATGTTACTGATTAACTTGAAAACAGAAAAACATCAGCCAGATGACTAGTTGCGCCCCCCCCCCGATTAGTTTCATGTTTCCTGGGTCACTTCGTCCATCAGAAATCCTG